CAAAGCTGCTGAGATAAACCCCACTTTACCTCACCAAACCTGCCTCTCCTGATCCACCACCCCCCTCTTAACATTTCTGCACCTTCTGCCACATTATTACCACCGAGCAGGGAGGGGGAGAGGCAAATGAACATGAAACAACATCTATTTAGATTAAAAAGTAACAGGTAAAGGTAGTAAATTAGCCTATAGTGAAGTTTTCTTGTGTAGCAGCATCACCGAGAGGAAAAGAAGCCTCTGTAGCAGGAAAAGGTGCACGATGACCCTCCTTTGTGATACAAATGGGAGTAAAAACAAGTGAGCTCAAGGTAAGAAAATACTTTACAAGACGGACGATGATTAGGTTAGTCTGAAGCTAAAACATGGGGTTGCGTGCTGCAAGCTCTCGTGTGCTCAGACTCATTATCTGGCCCAGTAATGCAGGCTTAGCCACAAAACGCCACCGCGCCTCTGATCATTGTCCGGTGCCAAACGTCACACGTGTCCGTCTTTACCACCAGATGGCTGCTTGGCTCGTCAATTAAGTGACACCAACACACGAAGCGCTGCTGGTTTCATTTTGTCTTATTTAGTGTAAATGTTGTCCGGCTCTTCAGTAATTCAGTCGTCAAACCGAAGCTTTACTGAGAACTTCTTAAAGTCCACTTTAATACAGATCTTAATTACTAAGTAGGAGCTTTTAATTGGATGCTGGCCCACGGTCAACTTATAATCACCCGTCGCACTGACTGAGGCCGGGATGTCTTTAAACCCCTATCTTGATTCATGTTACACCACAGGTTAGAATCCGTTGAGTCGGACATTTGGCGAACAATACTGCAGCGAAAATTTGGGAGTTGTGATGCCCCACCCCCAAAAAAGTAAATTATTTAATTTATGACTAAATCTAAATAAGGAATTGTGTTAGGAACATGGGTCAAAGTTGGTCCTTCCCTTATCTTTTTCATTTCCCATTTAAGCGATACTTCCAGAAACACGGATCCCTCGGCTGAAGTTAATTGATTGGATTTGTCTATTTCCGACTGCACACACAGCCTTCTAATGACTGGATGTTGTTCACTCGCTGTCATGACCGTGTGGCGTGTAAAGGCTAGAATGACTCACCGTTAAAAAAAGTTGTCTCGATTGTTTATTAGCAGGTTCAACAACACGAATCAGGCATTTTATTCAGTAAACACAAAATAAATACAAAATCTGTGCTTTTTAAATAAACAAATTGACAAACAAACACAAAATCATATGAGGTTTTTTTTTTTTTACTTCTGAAGTAGCAAAACTATTCAAAATTGAACACAATATTATGTTGCAGTACTTTTGCCTGGGATTGTTCAAAAATAAACTGTTTTTGTTTAAACCCAGTAACATCATTAAATACTCATGTGCACTAAAAGAACAACAAAAATCAGTCGAAAAACAAATATTACACAACATAATAACATTAAGAAGTAATGAAGGATTTGTTTGTGCAGTCATTGTAGTGTTTATGTGTGCAGGAAATATTGTGTAATTTCTTGAAAATATTAGATTAAAAATTAGCTTTTTATCGACTAAACAGAGTCCCAGTAACCCTTTAAATCAGTGGTTCCCAACCCTGGTCCCTGAGGAACACCACACTGCATGTTTTAGTTGTTTTCCAGCTTCAACACACCTGATTCAATTATTTAATTACCGTATTTTGCAGCCTATAAGTCACAGTTTTTTTTACATAATTTGCATGCCCTTCGATTTATATGCCGAAGCAACTTATTTATGGATTTTTTCCCCATATTTATAAACCAATTTTTGGCTGAGATATGACTGTCATTCATTCTGACTGAAATATTGAACATTACCATTTTCAGCCACTAGATGGCACTCGAGTAGTAAGGCATGACGTATCATGTAATAGGTAAAAGTGGCTATTAATGACACAACCTGCTTGCCATAGCCTGCCACCGTCGTCTGCCTGGAGCAACAGTCAAATCAGCTGCATTTCGCTGCGCCACCCCGGTGAAATGCAGATGTAGACTGAGACGCACCTTTACTATAATTTTGAGCAAACAAATAATTGTTTTTAAGTGTTAATCTTGTTAAATTCTTGTTAAAGTCCTCCCGTGCACGCTCCCGCGGCCGCCATTTGGCAGCCAATCGATTCTTGGCACAACACGGCCCACATTTCCGGGTTGTCAGCAGTGACGTGCAACAAACGTGACGCATCAGCGATGACGCATAATAGATGCGACTTATACGGCGAAGTGATGTGTACGGCAGAAAATACGGTACTTCCTCAAGTTCTGCAATCACCAAGTCATTCAAATCAGGTGTGTCAAAGCAGGGAAACAGCTAAAACATGCAGGATGGTGTTCCTCAGGGACCAGTGTTGGGAACTACTGCTTTAAATAATGCAGGCTGCCGCTGCTTATGGTTTATGTGAAGAATAAAATTATTTAGTTAAAAGTAAAACAACATAAAGGACCAAAAGTGTCCGACCCTTGGTGTTACAGTACAGCAGTTTTCACATGCTTTTCGCTCAAGAATCAGAATTAGTTTACACAAGACAATAAAAAGGATCTGAAATGTGCCGACCGCCGAGGTTTAGAATAAATTCAAATCCTTCTGAGCAGCGCTAAATGCTTTAATTTAACTACAGGTTGATGAAGGCTGTCCCAATACAAAGCAACTGAGCTTCTCAGTGAGCGTGTGCAGGAGGGCAGGATTCAACTTCCATCTCTTCTAGTTAATAATCACGACTTCCAAGGTGACAGATAGGCCTGTCACAATAACAAATTTTGCTGGGTGATAAATTGTCTCAGAAATTATTGTGATAAACAATAATATTGTTTGAAATTTAACAATAATTATTAATGTCAAATTTAAGAAGAAATACTGGTTAATTTTTGTGTGTAATACCTTTTTTTGACCCCTGGATGGCAGGATAAGACTGTTTGAACTGAAGGATGGATAGTGAGGGAGCGAGCAGCGTGACTCTTTAAGAAAATGGGAGGGAGGCCCATTGACGTGACATGGGTTGTCTCTCTTTCTGTTTTTCGGTTCTCAAAATGGCGGACGCTCAGTGTGGTTTGAGCTCTTTAGCATAGCATTTTTCACACAAAGCTTTTAATTAAAAAAAAATCAGTAAACAAGTTCTCAGCTTCTTTTTACAGAGATAAACAACTTTGTAGACCAAGGCACGGGTTTCAACCGTGGATTTTGGAGCTTCGACAAGACGGAGGGTTTTTCCCCGAGGTCGGCCTGTTAGCTTAGCTCGTAGCTTAGCTTCTCGGCTTAGTGGTTTTTAGCGATCCAAAAACGCGATTTTGGATTGTTAACAGATTTTAAAGAGAAAAGAAAAAGGGAAAGGTTAGTGAAGAGCACCAGAGTTGAGCCATTTGTCATCCATTGTCTTCAGTAGAAAGAGAGAGATACGAAGAAACGATAAAGCCGATAAATGAAAATGAGGTTGATAATTTTCATTTATCATGCGATTAATTGATTTATTGTGTATCGCAACAGGCCTAGTGACAGAATTTAAAAACCTTCTACATTCACAGCTAAATTAAATGATAAACCTCGTGCCCTCAAATAGAAACCCAGCACTTTCATTAATCTCATGTAGAGATGTTAAAACGTGGAGAACCTATTAACCCCGGCCAATGAGCTTACCGCAACCTTTGCTAAAGCGACACTGAAACGTCAGACTGTGTTTGGCTCAACTGAGCAAATTCAGTAATCTGGAAGAAGTTGGTCATCTTCCAAATTAGCACTATGAGCCCCTCAGTAGAGAGGATATCACCCACGGTATCAACAGAAAGAACAGCAAATTTGATTTGATTTTAAATGATATAATTTTCTTAGCAAAGTTAATTCTCTCTGCCAAATGGAGAAAATAGCCAACTTTTCTGTTTTTATAAAACACCTTATCAACAATAACATTAAGATTCTGAGAATTATGAAGAATGAACAGATTACAGCTCTCCTTCAGGCTTACCGGTATATTGACTTAAGCATTTGCAATTTAGTTTATTTTTCCTCAGAATGTAGTTATTTTTATGTCACTAATTGTTGCATTTAAATGCCTGATATTGACTTTTTTTTTCATGTTTTTTCACCTGTCATAAATATCTGTACATACTGAATATTTTTATTATCATCTTTTTTTTTTAAAAATCCAGTTTATGACTGTACATAGGATTCTGAAGCGAGTGCTGCCACCTGGTGGTCAGAGGTCAATACTGCAATATGAATACTGCCGAATGATTACTGGTATTCAGAATATACATATGCATTTGTGGAAAAACTGGAGAATAGTAGAGCAGATAATTAAAAAATATATTTTTTTTCCCCCGCAAATACATTTCTTCAACCATATCAGACTTTTGTGGATGTCCTTTGTAGAATAAAGTCAAAAATCTTTTTTAACTATAATTTTGGCACAAACAAATCAGGTCTATTAGCTCACATTCTACAAAAATGGTGAACATATTACCCATACAGAATTAAACTTTTTGTTTTTAAAACAAATTTAACTACCATGTAGTTAAAATCAACATAAATGATGGGACAAGACTCACACAGCGACCTGAACTACATCATCTTTAACAAAAATCCACATTTCACTTATTCTTATGTCTTATGGACGTTAGTGTTCTGATTTTTTTCAGGAAGAAATATTGAACAATAACTTGATTTAGTTTAAACGTTGCTGTGGTTTACATTTTCTATGATTCTGAGGTGGAGATTTATCTGTCGAAAAGTTAAGGCACCCTTAAATCAGGTGATTTGAACATACCTCATACGCCTAAACTTTTATTTTGATCAAATACGATCCAATTATTTATTTATTTTTTTGTATGAAAACATTTCCCGTTCTCAGTTCACACCAGTGTTTTTAAACCACCCTTGTATCAGCGGCTAACTTTCAGAGGGGCTTGAAATAAATCCACAAGTTGGATCGACCTCAGCTCCGACTGAGAGCAGAATCAGAACATTTAGACGGGCTCACTTTGAAAGTTGGTCGGCCGTAGAGGACTTGTCTTCTTCAGCATCGTCGGGTAGAAGACGGGTATTTGATCTTTAGGCCCTCCTTAAAGCTGCGGAACAGAAGCCGGTTCTGTTTGTTCTCCTCCTCTTTCTTGGCGTGGAACTCTCCTTGCAGCTTAAAGCCCAGGTGCACGACGAAGGCAGAGCTCAGCACGGAGAACCTGTAACCGGCCACGTGGAGCTCACAGGCCTGGAGGAAGGTGGAAGAGGACGAGAGAGCAGAAGCACGTTAGTTTTCTCCGTTTACGTTTTTGTGTCGGTGCCAATAAAAGTTGGTCCTTAAGAGTGTTTAAAGCTTCCACTGAAGTTTGGGGTATTTTGTAGTTTGACATCTTACGTTTTGGCTTTTGGATGTTCCTCTCCGACACCAGGAACCGGAGGTGCAGCTGTGGGTTTAAAATCCTAACAATAAAGCTAAAACTCTGGGTTCAGTTTGTATCTTTCTCTGCGATGTGCGGGTGGAAATCCCAAGAACTAAAAAAAAAAAAACATATTGGAAATTCCACTGAGACACGGTGGTGCAGTTGGTAGAGCTGTTGCCTCTCAGTGAGAAGGTTGCCGGATCAAATCCTGGCAGGGGGCCTTTCTATGTGGAGTTTGCATGTTCACTCTGTGCATGTGTAGGTTTTCACAGACCAAAAACATGCATGTTAGACTGATAGGGACAATTTGGAGTTACCAAAGTGTGTGTGAGAGTGATTGTTTGTCTCTATGTGTCCCTGGACTGGAGACTTGTCCAGGGTGTCCCCTGCAACTCGCACAGTGATGGCTGGATATGGGCACCAGTGACCCCTGTGACCCGAAAAGGAAGAAGCAGGTAAAGATAATGAATGGATGGATATCTGCTCTTATCAGCAAAGCAAGCTGTTCTAATCCTGTTAAAGTGAAACTATCAGTTCATGCTCAATAATTCAGGTAAAAATATCCAACAAATTTAAGTCCAGTCCTCCGGACAGTTTCTTTTTTTTTTTTTGTTGAGACGTTTTGTCCTTCATCCAAAGGACTTCATCAGTCCAAGGAGCCACAACAAACTCAGTCTAACAAGCAGCAATCTCACATAGTGGACCAACCAGTTTGATGATGATCAACAAAAAAATTAACTTGGGATGCACGATATTATCGGCAAGGTATCGGCCGATATTAGCGATAATGTTAAATATCGGACATCGGCCATTCCATCAAAATAAGTCACTGATATAAAAGGCTTCTGTTTTAATTTATTTTTTAATTTTAAGAAACTGTCAAGTATATCTATTAATGCACTACTACTTATGCGCTTTTCACTTGTCACTTATGAATATGTTGAGTTTAGATTTGTGAAAAAGTACAAATTTGCGCTGTTCAAGTGTTGTCATTGTGTTAGAGAGAGTAAATGTCATGAATACATTTGACATTAAACATAATATAAGTTGAAGTGTTGCATCATTTTCAGAATCCTTTTTGGTATCTGTATTTGGTAGCAGGCCAAACTGACAAAGACCATTCAGAATAATGTAGTATTTTAACTCCACAGTAGTGAAAGCTATTTAGTCTCTGCAAGTAGCGCTAGGGGAAAATATCGGTATCGGTATTGGTTATCAGCCAAATAAGTTTGAACATATCGGATATTGGCCAAAAATCCAACATCATGCATCTCTAAAAGAAACTGTCCAGATGACCTGACTGAACTTTGTTGGATTTTTGTACCTGAATTATTGAGCATGGACTTTGATGTTTTTAACCACTTTGGCTATGGCTTCAGAAGACCTGACTCTAATTAATTTACCATTTTTTAACTCCTTTTGACATCACAGACCTTTTTCAAGTGAGGCTGGAAGAAACTGGAGATGCTCCCTTCTTCAAGGGGCCAAACAGTGAGTAATATTTGGAGTACCAGGAAAAAAACGAGGAGAACATGCAAAGTGCACACAGAGAGAGCCCAGACCCAGCCCAGGGCTTGGACACAGGCAACAGTGCAAACCACTATGCCACTGTGGTGCACAGTTATGAGGAAGAACTTTGCACCTCACACTTGAACGGTCAAAGGTTACCGACCTGGCTAATCCGATTGAAGCCGTACTGCTTGAAGTTCTGGTCGTACGGGGCCACAGTGCGAGGGCCGATGTAGAAGGGCTCCCAGGGGTCGACCCAGTCGAGCGTGTAGGCAACTTCCAGCGTGCCCGTCTCTCTCACGTGACTGTTGACCCACTGCGAGTAGTTGGTGGGGGCTTGACAACGAGGACACAGCTCTTCGTAGAACGGGCGGACCTCCCCCACCTGGTACAACTGCACCAGCTGGGTCTTGGTGGCGGGAACCTTCCTGGCGTGGCGGATCTCAAACGCAGGCAGGACGAACACCTCGTCGCTCGCCGGCTCACGCCTCTGGATCATGGCGAGGAATTGCCGGGGCAGGTCGGCGCTCGGCACCATGTCGATGTCAAGGACCAGGATGTAGGGGGACTCTGTACCCCCACGGGCGACGTTACGAAGGAGGTTGTTCGGGTAGGAGACGTTACCACTGATGGCATAGTTCTTGGCTTTGTCTCTGTGGGTTTCCAGCCTGGCGAACACAGAGGCGCAGTCCTCAAGTCCAGCAAAGTGCTCCCGGTCCTGCTCAGGGAACCTGGCTGTCTCTCCTGACAGGCAGACCAGATGGAAGTCCACCAGGGCTTGGATCTGAGGGCAGAAGAAGCTGAGGGCAAAGACCAGAGCTGTGGCAAACTGGACATCTTCCCCATGTGCAAATATGGCTATAGACAGGGGGCTGTGCCACCTCTCCAGAAGAGACTCCAGGTGATGCAGATTGTTGATGGTGGTGTGTGTGGCTAAAGTCAGGACGTTCGAGTTCGAGCCCGGGATCTGGTCTGTGGTGAAGTCACTTTTGATCAGGTGTTTGTACACCCGGTACTGGCCGCTGTGGTCGAAGATCCCCCCGGTGGACAGGGAGTATCTGAGCCGCTCTTTGCGCGTGTTTTTCTCGGACTGGACATGTCTCTTGGCCGCGGAGCCTCCGAAGAGCTCGGAGTAGAGGGAGCGCTGCTGCTTACCGTGAAACTTGGACAGGAAGGAGAGGTAGAGGAGCTGCAGCAGCGCCACGAGCAGCAGGGCGCTCAGCACCACCCTGAACACGGAACACTTCTTACACAGATGCATTCCACAGAAACTCTGAAAATAAACTGTCCGAGCAGACGCAAGACCCGCCGAGGTGTTTGCGTTCGCGTCCAGCCGCGCGAGCTAACTACATCTTAGCCACAACGCTAACACCAGAGTCCACAAGGACTTCTTGTATTTGATGAGATTTGAGCTGACGCGGATTCTCATACGGCACGAGTCATCAAAAAATATGCAACCAAAAAAAAAAATAATAATAATTAAAGTCTCTGAGATCTTCATGAAAATACACAACAGATGAGCAGTCGCAGCTGTGACAGCGGCGCATGTCGATGTGTAACAGCCGTAATGTCAGGAAGAAAGGCGCAGCTGAAATTAAACCCGAGACTCTGATTGTTTTAGTGGAGCTGCCAGCATGGGTCGTGTTTGAACCGTACACAGAAATTAAAATTGTCCTATCACCGTCGTCCCAATTTACTTAAAAGCATGTTCATCATGGTGGACTCTTCCATAAAGAAAATTTATGTAGCAAAGCGTTATTATCTGACGAGGTGGCCGAGTGGTTAAGGCGATGGACTGCTAATCCATTGTGCTCTGCACGCGTGGGTTCGAATCCCATCCTCGTCGCATTTATTTTTACCTGTTGACTAGAACAACACTGGGAAATTACTTTATAAGTATAGTACACTTTATTGTCTGATGAATTTAGCTCACACTACATAGTATCTAAATTCAAGAATTTAATTAAATAACAAATGCCCCCGAACGGGACTATGTATCAGTTGTTCTGTTTTTTTTATCAGTACTGTCATTAATAATTTTAAAATACAGATGGGCATACCCTATAGTAAAAATACCTCCAACAAAAATAAATACATGCAGAAAATAACATCATAGCGCAAAACCAGAGGTGGAAAGAGTACTGCAAATTTGTACTCATGTACATGCTTCAATTGTACTCAATTACAAGTAAAACTGGTGTTATACAAATACTTAAGTAAAAGTAAAGTACTCTTCTCAAAGCCTACTCAGAGTATTAATGACTTTTTAACCAGTTGATGTTTAATTGTGATGTTAATAGAAGGCATTCAGCTACATTCAAAGCACATTCAGACGCTCAGAAGCTCCATCTTATCTTAGTACCAATTAAACCGATGGCAGTGACAATATCTAAGATCTTTACATACTTAGCCAAACTAATAACCTGCACATACAAACAATAAAACAGCAATATCATACAGGTAAAAACCTTGTATACTACAACATGGTAAAACGTTAGGCACTTCTGAAGTTGTAGTTTTTCTCCTCAGCCAGGTAAGACGCTTCTTACATGGTCTCTGGTTCAGGAGTGGCTTGACTTGAGGAATGAAACATTTGTTGCTCACGTCTCCGTCTGTGCAGTGTGCACGAGTTTTCAATGTTGAACCTCTTCACAATATTCTGTCACTGAGTTTAGGCTTTTCATTATCTGTAAGCCATAATTATCAAAATTACAAGAAATAAAAAATATTTCACTCCATGTATAATGAATCTATGTAATATTAGTTTCACTTTCTGACATTATTGACCAAAATGCTTGTCATAGCTTGTTTATTTTGTCCAGCTAACAGTCCTTACCAGAAAGGTATTAAAATAAATATTAATAAAATAAAAAATTGCAGTAAATTTTATTTGTGAGTCTAAAATACTTGTTTTTTCATTCACTCAACCTTTATTTTCTGATGTAATTGTGTGAATGTTTATGAAACATTCTCAAATATATGATCCATTTTTCTTCTGTACAGTTTTGGCGCTATTGCAGTTTTTGTGCTATTTAAAAAAAAATCATAAATCAAAACATTCAGCTCTTCTAGGACAATCCTGCTATGACTGTGGTGCAACTTTAGCTTTTTGAAATATTTAGCCTTTTCTGCCATTTTTTTCATAATCAAAAATGAATTCAGCTCATTTTACATCCTTCAAATCTTTAGATCTATTTACGACCTTTTACTGCTCCTTTCACATTTTGTTCTGCTTCAGCTTCTTTCAGCTTGCTAGTGCAAATGTAAACATTTTTCAGCTAATTTCAGCTGTTTTTTCCACCTGTCTTGTGCTCCTTTCAGGCTCTTTCTGCAAACTACAACATTTTTGTGCTTCTTTAACTTCTTTCTGCAAGTTTCAGCTTTTTCGGCTATTTCAGCTACTATTTAGCCGTTTTATGCTAATTTTAGCTTTTTCAGTTATTTTCACTTTTTTTTCCACTCATTTACTTTTTTTTCTGCCCAATTCAGCAAAAATGTGTTCTCTCCACCTCTTTCTGGTAATTTAAGCTTATTTTTCAGCTGTTTTCGCTTTCTTTCTAATTTAAGCTTTTTTCCAGATAATTTCCACTTTTGTGAGCTCACTTCTGCTTCTTTCAGCCTAATTAGGCAAACATGTAGTTTTTGTTTTCTTCTACTAATTTCAGCTTGCTCTAACTTTTCAGCTACCCTTTTAGCATTCTTTAGCTAATTTCAGCTGATTTCAGATAAATTTAAGTTTTCATGGTAATTTTTGCTACTTTCAGGTTTTTAAGCTCCTTCATCTTTCATCTGATGGTTTCACATTTTTCTGCTATTTCAGCTACTATTTAGCTGTTTTTATGCTACTGTTAGCTTTTTCGGCTAATTCTACATTTTTAAGCTCATTTCAGCTCTTTTCTCTTCCAGTAGTTTAAGCTTCTTTTTTCCTTTTCATGTTTTTCTTTTCTAATTTCAACCTTGTATTTTTTTTGCAAATGTCCTCATTGTTGTGCTAATTTATACCTAATTTAGCAAAAATGTGGTATTTCTGCTTTCTTCTACTAATTAAGGTTCATTCTTTCATTTCAGCATGCTTTATTTAGCCAATTTCAGCTGTTTCTCAGCAAGTTCTTTTTCAGAAATGAGTCCCCATCCTTATTGGGATCAACCTGTATAAAGGTTGAATGAAAAGTTCTTCTGCAATAAGCATTCACAATGCAGTTTCACAGGAAATGACATTTCTCTAGTTATATCTTTACTATTGTACAATTACCATACATACATACACACACACACACACATATCTATC